TATCACCACTGTGCTTATTTAAGTTGATTTTTGCATCAATCTTAGGGTGTTCTACCAAGAAATCAACAACCTTACTTAAACACACCTCCTTCTGAGATGTTTATTGGCTTCTTTGAGCTTTGGATGTTATGGTGTGAAATGTGGGGCAATGCAAAGTCAGCAAAACAAAGAAGTGAAAGAACAAATAGGCAGAGCAGCATCCTTCTCTCAAGAGTGACACTTGCCCCCCAAACATCAGAGGACTTCAGATACAAACCACTGAGGTCTGAATTACATAGAAGAGCACAAGAGGTCCTGAAGATCTGCACTCAGAGGTGAGTCAAAGCAGGTTTGTCCTATTGAATTTGAAACTTGTCAGGTTTACAGATGCCCACGCACATTACGCATTATGATAGATAGATAGATAGATAGATATTCCTTCACACTGATTCTGCATTATTATCTGTGATTTATGCTGAAATAAAAAAAAATGTTTTGCAGACATATTTCCATTTCAAATAAATATATTTTAATAACATTGGTCGTTAATAGTTTTATTTCTATCATATTCATGTCTATGATCTTTTAGACAGAACCTATAGTTTAGTATGCAAACGCATTATGTATGCATGTATGTATGTGTATGTATTTATATATAGGCTATGTATTTTCCTCCACATTTATTAAAAAATCTTTTACTTGAATGTGAATGATATCGATGCAGAAAGATTGATATACTGTTTTTATAATTATTGACTTAAATTTAAAAAAATGCTGCGCCTAGTAATAATTAATAATCATTGTTAACGTCTTAACTACAAATTGCAAAGAAATATTTTTTGTTACTGTATTTTTACCAGGTTTGCTCATTAAAGGGTTAATACTTTAATTACAGAGCACACAATAAAACGATAAAATATTTGATGATAAATAAAAATGTATACACTGTTCATTAAGTATGTCAAAAACTATTTAAAAAAAAAGAAGTTGTATTCAGAGATGAATGTGTATGTTTTGATATATTAAAACGTACTTTTTCTGTCCCGTTCTTTTCATTGCTGCAACTGATAAAATGTTTCGTATTTTAGATCATATACAGCGGTCTCTAAACTTTTTGTGAGCGAGGGCTACCTCAAGGGATAAAATAATCAAGAAGGCCTACTTGTTTGTTATACTCAAAAATATGTAGGCTATTAAATACATATAACATGGTTGTGCTCTTTTACTTTACCTTTACTTTTAACTTTATTACTTTTCACCATCATATGCAAAATAATAAAATATCTTGATATTCTGTTTCAGACTTACACGCGTTTTAAAAAAATCAACAATTAAAATATATATTAAAATTGTATATTGTACATTTATAATTTTCTCTCTGAAAATCACATTATTTAACTGCCACACAATTTTAGGAGTCATTTGCCACCATAATGGCAACAGAAGTGTTTGAATTTGTCTCATCATGGAAATGGACAGTAAAACAAAAAAGATTAAGTCAGGATGCAAATGTGCATTTGTTTAAATAAACTACATCTGTAAAAAGTGTAAAAAAAAACTTCTTTTTTTATATATATATATTCTGACAGTGCAACTGGGACAGCCCTTGCTTCTGTTTTTTATTAGCTCATTCAAATTGACCATTGTTCTTCCAGTATCATATCATGGTAACCCATGCATGGCTCTTCACTACCACAGTAAAAATAAAAACAAAATAAAATAAAAACTGTAGGTTCTCCATAAACCTATTGTATGTGTTATCAAAAACAGTAGCCCAAACATTTAGAATAAATATAAATGACAATATAAATAAATAAATGCAAAAAAGAAGAACAAAAAAACGGCCATAGCTTCTCAACAAAAACACAAAAACAGTGTAATTACATTGCATTGCTCCTCTAAGACATTTAATACATTTATACATGCCTATATTAATATAACATCATTCAATATGAATATATACCGGCACGTTTCTGACAAAAAAAAGTTAGTTTTTTAATGTTCCTCCTGTTTTTTTTGCGTCAATGTGTTGGGAATATCAGCACTGTTTCATCAGGCTTTCATAAACTAGTTTAAATCCCAGAGTCATGAGTGGGTTTATAATAGAGATAGAAATAGAAAGAAATAGTTTAATAATGTTCGCGTGATCACTGTTTTTTGGGCCGAGCTGATAAAAGCTCCGAGCTGAACAGGTCAAACAAGTTTCGTTCCGCTTTTGGAGCGTTTGCCATTTGATGTTTCTCAAACGTACCTTTTTTTCTTTTCTTTTTTTTTAAAGGTCGCAAAATACCATTTGGTCGAAGTCTGCTATTGGCAAGTTGGGGCTATTTATAGAATGTGCTTAGCGGGCAACTCACAGGCTCGAGCCCGCGGACACCACGTCCATATTAAACCTGTTTAATCATTCAAACAAATTCAAAGCATCGTAACTTTGCCACTATGTCGCTTATCAATATCAACACCTTCAAAAGCAAACTCAAAAGTAAAATTATGGTGCATTATTTAAAGCACTGTTTATGAAAACACGTTAAATGTATAAAATCCCTAATTGTTTTGATTTGGTAAATGTTTGATAGCTTACGGTTGTTTCTGAGGCTGAATAGCCGTTGGCTTCAACATCTGATGCAGTCCTGAGTTTCTTCATCCTCATCCTCACAAGCAGAGAGCCACACACACGGCAGCCTGTCTCTCCACAGAAACATTCCTCACTTCATTCTGCTCTTTTATCTTCACTTCTGCTAAAATAAAGACCCTGTTCCTCGAGACAGGGTTTTAAAGCGCGTTGGCACCATAGGTTGGCACGCGATGCTGACTGAAAGCACGACCTGGGTGTCAGATCACGCCAACGACTGTCTGACTGTGACACGCGATGAGTAGTGGAATGAGTACAATTTCACTTTAGACGTTATTTAAAGATTTTTAACATAGATATTTCGTGCTCCCATTCACCACAAAAACACACCTGAAACTTAAGGTGACATTTAATCGCTGATGCATCTGTCTCCAGTGTGGCGCCGGTAACTATAGTTACTGTTGTTATTGTGAGGCGCACGACTTTACGATCTTATTTTTCTAGCATGGTTATGCAGTTCTAAAGAAAAAGTTTTTTTTTTGTCTTCTTTTTTTCTTTAAAAAACCACGAATGAATCAAATACAAATATGTAAGACTGCCGCAATAGATGTTCAAAAATATATTTCATTTGCTTAAATGTAGCCTACCTGTAAACAAACATAATAAACATGCAGACATATATATGCATATGCATATATATATATATATAATATAGGCCTAACTTAAATATATGCAAAGGGTGAACTCGTGACAGAATCAGCAGTATAAATAAAACTGGCAGCCAGTCAAACAATGAAATCACCTGTGCATCCCAAAACACTTTTTAGTTTATGCAATTTACTATTGGTTCAATTTAAAAACTGTAATAATAAGCTGTGCTGACTCTGAGACATGAAAGATGTGTTTAGAATAGAAGGCTATGTAAACCAAAAACCTCAATAATGAACTAACTCTTTGGTTATTTGTTTTCCAGCATTTTTTACCTACTACAATAATCATTTTTACATTACATTTTACATAAAAGTTTGCTGCAAAATCTGCTGGATAGTCAGTGCTAAAGTTATGACATTTTTACAGAAGAATCACTACACAAGGAAACCACTCAGATTTCTGCCCTTTAAATGCCACACATGTGAAACTGAAGATCTCAAAGATGATTTATGTCTAACTAACCCGAACTGGTTTAATAATAAATAGATAAAAATCTACTAAATGTGTAACTTCTGCAACACTATTGTTTACATGGTAATTTTAGCATCTTTGATTTGCTCAGTTTATAGATTATTCACGACATAGTATAGAAACATGACCTTTAAAGAGCGCCTCTAGTGGAAGCATGCAACAAAACAGCAGCATTGACGTCACCTTAACCCTTAATAACACCTTAATATGTCTTAACATATTATATAATATAACACATATATACATATATATAAACATAACATATATAACACATTTAAAAAAAAAAATCTAATATAGCCTATATATATATATATATATATATATACATACACTACCGTTCAAAAGTTTGGGGTCGGTACGATTTTAAATACTTTTAAAAGAATTCTCTTCTGCTAACCATGGCTGCGCTTATTTGATTAAAAATACAACAAAAATCAGTTATAGTATTAAATATTATTCCAGTGTAAATCAGCTGTTTTCTGTGTGAATATATAGTAAAGTGGAATTTATTCCTGTGATCAAAGCTGAATTTTCAGCATCACCAGTGTCAGTGTCTTCAGTGTCAAATGATCCTTCACAAATCAGTATAATATGAGGATTTGATGCTCAAGAAACATTTATTATTATTATCAATGTTGAAACAGTTGTTGGTCTGTCAGTTGTACAGTTTTTTTTTTTTTTTTTTTGGATTCTTTGATGAATAGGAAGTTCAAAAGAACAGCATTTGTTTGAAATAGAATCTTTTGTAACATTATAAATGTCTTTACTGTCCTTGATAAATAAAAGTATTGATTTCTTTCCTCCAAAAAATAAAAATAAAATTCTCACTGACCCCAAACTTTTGAACGGTAGTGTATATATGTTTGTGTGTGTTTGAGTAACATTTAAAACATCAGGCTTTAATGGCCCATTTAGTAAGAATAATGAGTTCACAGTCAAGCGTAATAAACAATGTAATAAAATGACGACTAGAGATACAAATACACATTTCACAGAAGCCCGATGGATCATATTTGATAGTCACATTTTAACATGATCTTTCAAAAAGAAAAAAACGGTATGATCACAGATCATGGAATAATGGATAATCAAGTAAATCTAAGTTGTTTTGTCCATTAAATGTTCATCAAATATTACTGACATATTTGAAATTACACTAAAATGCCTTTTACTTCCTTAAAAGTATGAACTACCAATGAGTACGAAGTGTTTCTTTTAGAAAAAGATTATGTTGTTCGTTCAGAGGCGTTAGAAATTCATGTAAATAGGGTTTATATGGTTCACCTCCCATAATAAGCACACCTGATGAACGGTTTCCGCTTCTCTCCCATGTTTTACAGGAATGGCGAGCTCTGGTTCAACTACAGAAGACTTCATGTCATATGCAGGCCTAACTAACGACTATGGGTTATATAACTACACTGATTTAGAAATTGAAGTTGGTCTCACCGATGGCAACTTCACTGACGTTGTAGAGCTTTGTGAAGCCAGCACAGAGCAGGAGCTGACCATCACTGCTGTCCAGACCACCATCTTCCTCATCGTCTTCATCTTAGGTGTAATTGGAAACGGGCTGGTCATTGCAACCTTCGCGCTGTACCGCCGGCTACGTCTGCGCTGCATGACCGATGTCTTCCTCTTCTTCCTGGCTCTGTCTGACACGCTGCTTCTGCTGACTCTTCCGTTACAGACGGGAGAGACGCTGATCGGCAGCTGGGAGTTCGGAGAGGCCATGTGCAAGCTAAACCGTGGCATGTATGCCATCAACACCAACAGCGGTCTGCTATTGTTGGCGTGCATTAGCGTCGATCGCTATTTAGTGGTGGTTCGCACCAGGGCCGTGCATAAGATGAGTTCTGGCACGCTGTTTTACAGCACACTGTCTGCGTTAGGCGTCACAGTAACCTCAGTCTTCCTGAGCCTGCCAGACCTGCGCTTCAGCTCCATAGAAAAGAACATGGGTTCAAACATGTGCGTAATGAAGGTTTGGGGCGATGAAGTGAGTAAATGGAAGCTGTGGGCCCAGATGGCGAAGATTGCAGGATTCTGCATCCCTTGCGTGGCGATGGTGGCGTGCTACGGTGCGATCGGACGCGTGCTGATCCGTGCCGGTGGGAAAGGCTGGCGTAGGCAGAGGACCCTGCGTTTGATGGCATTGCTGGTGGTTCTTTTCCTGGTTTTCCAGCTACCGTACACTGTGGTGCTGCTGATTAAAATATTCACACCCACACCGAAACTCTGCGACGAGTCGACCAGGTTCCACCTCCAGGAAATCGTGACACGCAATCTGGCCTACGTGAGGTGCTGCCTGAACCCTTTGCTTTATGCGCTGGTTGGCGTCCGATTCCGAAACGACATCATCAGGCTTTTGACGGATACCGGGTGTGTGTGCGCGTGTGTGTCCCATATAACACCTCATCATGACAACGGAAGCTCTATTACGCCGTCCTCTCCGGCTCCAACCTTGCTTTCACCCGTCTCCTTTACTTACCCATCCGTGAAGAAAACCCCTGCCCTGGACACACCTGCTGCAAACACAGCCCAAACATTCATTTTCCCCACAACTATATCTGAAAAAGGGACTTCGGTCATGAGCTGGTGTCATCAATGACTTAGATATCAGACAATCTGAAATAAATCATTTCTCAGTTTAAGATCATAATTACATTTACCATTTGGCAGACGCTTTTATCCAAAGCAACTAACATTGCATTTCAAGGTACACATTTACATTCTTATCAGTTCTTGCTTTCCCTGGGAATCGAACCCATGACCTTGGGCGTTGCAAGCGCCAACCCTCTAGTGTTCGAGCTACAGGAAAACCGAGACACAAATGCATGTGCACAAAAGCTGAGATGGTCTTCACTGCAGAACACGAAATCCAGGGGGACTCCTCCACCCATCTCCGCCCCTGATCCCTAACCCCACCCCTAATCCTACCCATCTCCGCCCCCTGATCCCTAACCCCACCCCTAATCCTAGATCTGGATCCAACTCCGCCCCCTGGATCTCGTGTACTGCAATGAGGTGCTACAGCAAAAGCTTCTTCTTTAAGCTTTCACAGCTAAAAATATATATGTAATCTTACTGAGGCTCATAATGTATGCTTGTTAGATATATCTTTTCTCTATTTTTTAGTTCGCTATGTTAGACTAAGAATGTTAGGTTTCATTAACAAAAATTTCTAAATTTCAGTCATTTTTCTAACTTAGACTTTCAACAACAGCACTGTCTCTCTGAAACTTCACCATCCGAAGACACGTCAGCAAACACAAACAGATACAATGATTCACAGTTGAGCATTTCTTTTGGGTAAAAAAGGCTGTTTCATTAATATCTATCAAGTGAGGACATTATGTAATCCAAAAAACAATTGCTGTAAATATATTGTGCATAACATTTTTGCCATTAAAATAAATAATATTGTTGTATATGTGTTATTCTCTGCTGTCTCAATCTCATTTCTATATCTTCTTTTTACCTGTATTCACTACTGACAAAAACTGCAAGAGAAAGAATATTTTTATATTGCTATAAATTACCCATTTTTATAATGATTTGATAATGATGAGTTGAAATAAATGAAAATCTATGAAAGCAAATTTCTTTGAGCACTTAATTCTAGTTATATTAAACCCTATTCAAGTTTTATTTATTTTGAATATCTAAAACATTGAAGCAGGTATTTTATCAGCATGTTAGCGCCACCTTGAGTTGAAATCTGGGTTAAGAAAAATATTGATCAACTTTGGCATAAACTAATATAAATGATAAATAATACATTTATATATAATAATATGACAGATGAAATGAACAGATGTATATAAAAAAGTGAAAATCAATTAGATGTTAGGCCTATAAGTCCTAGCTGGCACCTACAGTATAGGACAGTAAACTATTGAGCTTGTAGGCTACTGTTGTAAAAAAAACAATAAGTTTTGCTCTACATTTATTAAGGCTGAAATGATAGCAGTGACAACTCAATTTTACCTTAGCAATTTACAACTGACACTAAAGTAAACGTGTTCTCTTCTACATAGCCTATATAAAAAACGTCTCGGTTACATATGGTAACCCTCGTTCCCTGAGGGAGGGAACGGAGACGTAGGTCAGACTGACCAATAGGAATCTCGCTAGAGAGGCCAATCTACTTCGAGTGAAACTAAAACAAGCCAATGCACATTGGCATGCAATCATTTGCATCAGCTGCGCGTCCTCGTCAGCGCGGGTATTTAACAGCAGCTGTTATGATTGCACGCTAGTTTTTTGCTGAGGAGCCAAACCTGAAAAAGCTGGCCGCCCCAGCGGGCGGCAGCAGATGTGGCGACGGGACCTACGTCTCCGTTCCCTCCCTCAGGGAACGAGGGTTACCATATGTAACCGAGACGTTCCCTATCGGTCAGTCACTACAACGTAGGTCAGACTGACCAATAGGAATCCCTACCAAAGCGCCACAGCTGCTGCACCCCATCCAGCGCCCCATGCAAGCCTCTACACCTTCTTGCCTAGAAGGACGATAGGAGGAGGCTACACACAGAGTGTATCTGTCACTGTTGTTCCGTAATAACCCATACAGTGAGATTATTGGATAACACTGGGAAAGCGTGCCCCTCAGTTAGGAAGGAGGACGCTGCGGAAGCCACTTACTTCAAGGAGTTATGTGGGGAATACATATGGACTAGCCCGAAGGCTGTACTACATATGAGATAGTGGGTGACTTAGCCCAAGGGAAAGACACGGGCTTCCGTTAGGAGCAGCCGTGGAAAATATACACATATGGGATCCCCGTAGGGTCACACATATGGAACCCAGCCCAGATCCGGTTCTCAAGGATTCAGCGGATAAAGGCCTGGCACCTGGACGCTCCGCCATGTCCGGGCCGAGGGGTTTTTGGAGGACTCAACAGGTTTTTCACTCTGGAGCAATAAGGGTGCACAGTAGGGTGCAGCAAGCCGACAGAGCCGGGCCTCTCGGTGCTTCTACCCGTTTAGGGTGAGAACACGGGAGGAGACCGGCTCTACACGTAGGCTATAATATCTAGCGAACGTGTTAGGTGTCGCCCAGCCCGCAGCTCTACAGATATCTGTTAGCGAGGAGCCACGTGCCAGCGCCCAGGAGGATGCAACGCCTCTCGTGGAGTGTGCATGCAACCTGAGCGGGCAGGGCACGCCTTGAGCTTGGTAAGCCAAGGCGATGGCATCCACTATCCAGTGGGCCATCCTCTGCTTGGAGACAGCCTTTCCCCTCTGCTGGCCTCCGTAACAGACAAAGAGCTGGTCTGAGGTCCTGATGCTTTGAGTTCTGTCCACGTACATACGCAGAGCGCGAACGGGACAGAGCAAAGCCAGGGCTGGGTCTGCCTCCTCCAAAGGCAGCGCTTGCAGGTTCACTACCTGGTCTTTGAAGGGAGTGGTAGGAACCTTGGGCACATAGCCAGGCCGGGGTCTTAGTACCACATGGTTGTCACCCGGCCCGAACTCTAGGCACGATTCGTCGACCGAAAATGCGTGCAGGTCTCCTACCCTCTTGACAGAGGCCAGTGCAACCAGTAGCAAAGTCTTCATGGAAAGAAGCTTTAAGTCTACTGACTGCAGAGGCTCAAAGGGAACATCCTGAAGTGCTCGAAGCACCAGGGAAAGATCCCAAGAGGGTATGGAGGGGGGTCGAGGAGGATTTAATCGTCTCGCCCCCCTAAGAAACCTGACGACCAGGTCGTGCTTCCCCACTGTTTTGCCATCTATGTGGTCGTGATAAGCTGAAATAGCGGCAGCATGTACTTTGAGGGTGGAGGGAGACAGCCTTCGCTCCAACCCTTGCTGCAAGAAGGAAAGCACAGACCCTATCGAACATCTCCGGGGGTCTTCTCGGCGAGAAGAACACCACTCGACGAACAGGTTCCACTTCAGGGCGTAAACACGTCTCGTGGACGGCGCCCGTGCTGAAGTGATGGTGTTAAGTACCTCAGGGGGTAAGTCACCTAGAACCTCCGCGTCCCGTCCAGGGACCAGACATGGAGTTTCCAGAGGTCTGGACGCGGGTGCCATAGGGTGCCCCGTCTCTGAGTCAGAAGATCCTTCCTCAGAGGAATGGGCCAGGGAGGGACTGTCCCAAGGAGCATGAGTTCTGGGAACCAAGTCCGGGTGGGCCAATAGGGAGCCACCAGAAGGACCTGCTCCTCGTCCTCCCTGACTTTGCACAGTGTCTGTGCAAGTAGGCTCACTGGGGGAAACGCATATTTGCGGAGGCCCCGGGGCCAGCTGTGTGCCAGTGCGTCCGAGGCGAGTGTTCCCTCGGTCAGGGAGTAAAACAGCTGGCAATGGGAGGTCTCTGAAGAGGCAAACAGGTCTACCTGAGCCTCTCCGAACTCTCTCCAGATCAGCTGAACCACCTGGGGGTGGAGTCGCCATTCTCCCGGAAGCACAGCTCGTGATAGCTCGTCGGCCACACGGTTGAGCACGCCAGGGACATACATGGCTCGAAGCGACCTCAGATGCTTCTGACTCCAGAGGAGGAGATGGCGGGCGAGTTGCGACATGCGACGGGAGCGTAGACCACCTTGTCGGTTGATGTACGCCACGGTCGCAGTGTTGTCCGTACGGACCAGCACGTCCCTGCCCCGTAGCGGCCTTTTCAGGCGGCTCAGAGCGAGATGTACTGCTAGCAACTCGAGGCAATTGATGTGCCAATGCAGTTGGGGAGCCGTCCACACCCCTGACACTGCATGCCCGTTGTACGTGGCACCCCAGCCGGTGGCAGAGGCATCTGTGAAAACCACAGCATGCCTGGAGACCTGTTCCAAGGGGACTCCTGCCCGAAGGAACGAGAGGTCTGACCACGGGCTGAAGGTCTGGCGGCAGGCCGGTGTGATTGCCACCCGGTGAGTGCCATGATGCCACGCCCATCTCGGGACTCGGCCGTGAAGCCAGTGCTGAAGCGGTCTCATATGAAGCAAGCCGAGCGGAGTTACCGCTGCTGCCGCTGCCATATGCCCCAGGAGCCTCTGAAAAAATTTCAGTGGGACCGCTGTCCTGCCTTTGAACGTGTTCAAGCAGTTCAGCACCGACTGAGCGCGCTGCTCTGTGAGGCGCGCTGTCTGTGCGACCGAATCCAACTCCATACCGAGAAAAGAGATCCTCTGCACAGGGGCGAGTTTGCTCTTTTCCCAGTTGACCTGAAGGCCCAACTGGCTGAGGTGCGTGAGCACGAGGTCCCTGTGTTCGCATAACTGATCTCGAGAGTGTGCTAGTATAAGCCAGTCGTCGAGATAGTTGAGGAGGCGAACGCCCTGTTCTCTCATGGGAACAAGGGCCCCCTCCGTGACTTTCGTGAAGACACGGGGAGACAGGGACAGCCCGAAGGGCAGGACCTTGTACTGATATGCTCGACCCTCGAACGCAAAGCGCAGAAACGGCCTGTGTCGAGGAAGAATCGAGACATGAAAGTACGCGTCCTTCAGGTCGATCGCTGCAAACCAATCTTGGGGACGGATGCATCCGAAAATGCGTCTCTGCGTGAGCATTTTGAACGGTAGCTTGTGGAGGCTCCGATTCAAAACTCGCAGATCCAAGATCGGTCGTAACCCACCACCTTTCTTGGGTACAATGAAGTAGGGACTGTAGTGCCCTGACCCCATATCGGCTGGAGGGACCGGCTCTATCGCGTCCT